TCACCCAGAGGTTACTTGCTAAAGCCCATGCAGAGAAAAATAGTTTTTCTCACGTAAGCGTAGCGTTTACCCCTACCTAACGGGATAGAGCACAATTAGAAGGCTCTAAATACTCGAACAATTATAGCGCGAGAGGGGGAAACTCACAATACTTTGCCTCGATCCCAAAACAATCTTACTAAAAAAGGTCAGCAATCTGAAACATGCAAATCACACATTAGTACAACCAATAAATAAAAGATGCACGGCAATGCAAACAAAACATGAGAATCAAAATTAATATATCGTTCAAATTTACCATTTTCAACGAAAAAGATGACATATAATCGATTACGGCTTGACTCTCTAATGTCCCAGTGAAATCGCCAAGCTGTCGAAACTGTGCTTAAGCTTTTTAGGGCTATGGCGGGGAGCGATCAAACTTAATCTTGGAAAAGGTTGAGTTTTAAAATAAAGAACAAATAAGCGATCATTTATGAGAAAAATTAAAAGGAGTATTATTTTATACGAACAATTATCGAAAATACTTTCCTTGTTAGTTAAGGGAGTATTTCCATGGATTCTCCTTAGAAAATAATATTGCCCAAATTTTTAGATAAAATACATATATTAATTACATAAAAAAATTCTTTTAGATATAAAATATATTATTTTGTTCAAACAATTTTTGGAAACACACTCCTTGTCAGTTAAGGCGAGTTTCTATAAATTATTCGCACAAAATAATATTTACGATATTTAAAAAAATACTAATATACATATATTGATCGAACCCATGCCGATTTAATAACTACCTAGTAACATACAACAAACCAGAGAGACTAAAACACAACGCAACACAAGTTGAATAGGTCGTATTAAGGTATAACTAAAAAAGCAAAAATTTTAAAGACCAAATTGCAAAAACAATAAAGACTATGGTAACCAGTGCAAATATTACACAAACTAGGCACCAGAATCGTAAATAAGCCAATAACACTATTCAGAATTAAAAAATATTAAACTTGAGGATTAAACTGTAAAATAAGCAAAAGTAATGGCCATAAACGAGAATAACACGCAAGCTAGATACTAGAAATGTAATTTAATCATCATCACTATTTGGGATGAAAATTAAAATTGTTAAAATGGGGTACTCAAACCAAAATAAACATAAAAATAACATAACTAGTGCAAAGGGACTAAAACAAAGAACAAATAAAATTTAAAGTGCAAATTAAAATAATATAAATCCATTTCAGTGACCAAATCAAAAGTTTACAAAGATAAAGGGACCCAGGAAGTGGTTTACCCACGTACTGAAACGCAGACACCCTTCCTCAAAATGGCGTCGTTTTGCCATAGGTATATAAACCAAAGCCATGGCCGAAAATCCCCCACACTTCTCATTTTTTCTCTTTTTTGTCTCTCTCTCTAAAATGAGAGAAAAACATTTTCTGTCGCTTCTCTCTTCTTTCTTCACTGGAAGGGAAGCCGGTGATCTCCGACCATCACTCGTCGGAGTGCTCTACCGTCGTCCACGGTGGCCGGAGCTCTAAAAAGCTACCCAAAATGACGCTGGTCGTACCCTTAACCCAAAAAATACACCCCACTCAACCTAAAATCAACCCTAGCATCCTAGATCCAAGGGAAACAAAGGGGTTACCTTCAGTTTTCGGTGGTTGCACTTTTCTCTGGTGGCGAGATACGTGACTTCGGGTGGTAAGTCCTCCATTTCTCTCTCTCAATTTTTTTCTTTCTCTTTTTTTGAAAAATCCTCGATTTACTTTTGTGGTTATATCCTCCCTATTTTTTTGATTGTGTTCCCTCTTGTTGGTTGATTTAGAGGCTTCGATTTTGACTTTTTTCCAATTGCATGTAAATGGGGAGTATATCCTCTGATTTTCTTTTTGTTATCTTTGTTTGTTTCAGCTTTGGGGGTCTAACCGAGGAGAGAAGTTTGCGGTGATGGAAGGAAAAGGACGAGGTAAGTATTTTTTACCCTGAGGCTATCTTCATCTGCCCTAAGGCAGCAGACGACGAATCCAGTGGTGGTAGTCCTCGGGCAGTGGAGAATCACAGGCACATGCAACTCACACAAGGAGCGTGTGACGGTGGAGGCTTGGCGCGTGGTGGTTGCTAATTAGGGTGAAACCCTAATCGATCCAGATCTAGACTATTGGATGGGTCCAGATATGACGGTTCAGATCAACCGGCAGCTAGGCAGGGGGAAAACTAGGGTTTCCTTTAACCGGTTTTGGGCTTGCTTATTGGGTCGTTTGGTGCTTTGTAATTGGGCCCCTGGATTGGGCTTATAATTTGTAATTTGTAATATGAAAATAAAAATAATATTAATAAATAGTAATAATAATGATAATATAATAATATAATAATAAATTATAACCCGGACAAAAATGGGTGTCCACATACTCATCATCTAAGGCCTCAAAAATTGGATTAAAATGGGAGCCATTGTTGAAGGTTCCCTTAGTACTTTGAGCACTGCCAAGGGGGTTCACACTACTTTTACGTTGTTTCCTCGCCACCATCATCCCGGTGCCAAAAGAAGGGTTCTCCGGTGCCAGAGTCGGTGGAGCAGGAGTAGTATGGGGGACAGATTGGGAGGGCGGTGCAATGGAAGAGCATATTTCTTGAACATACGAGCGAAACGACCCCGATGACCATTCTCGGTTTGGAAATTAATCTTTTTAGCAGAACCAATACATTCACCAATCTCGGTCAACTGGTTTCGATTATAAAGCATTGTTGGTAACATGGAAGACGAATCCAGGGAGTGATCTTCTTTGGATGTGATTGGGTAGGTTAAAAGTCCTCCTCCGTCCATGGTGCAACTATCTGATAGTGCCCAATGATCATTCATGGTCCCTCTGAGATAACTTTCAAGAAGTCGGATTGGGCACGGAAAGAAATAAAAAATAATCATTTTCAATGTCCATGATACGGCTGGCTGAGATGGCTTCCAGAGGTTGTAGATCTTTGTAGGAATGGTTTTGTAACCAATCCTTCTGCCAAGCAGCTTGACGATCATGGTCTGATCGAGGCTCTTGGCTGCCAGCTTTTGAACGCGTTCCGAAAAACCAATGGAAATAATACCATCGACAATGTTGGGAGCTACATCTTATTCGAGTAACTCAATCTCCTCTTCATCGATAATGGACTCTTCAGCATGCGAACCTTTAGGACTATCTCCCATTAAGGTTTCCTTATAAGACGGAGCTGGAGGCATAGCAGATGCAGGTGCTGGGATTTCATGATCAACACCATCCATAGCAGTGATACTAGGGTTGTCTGGGACACCAGAGTTTGATTGGGATGAAAGAAATTCGTTAGTGATATCAACGTCCAGAGCGATGTCAGCATCCATGGCGTCGAGGGAAACATCAAGCGGTTCGCCACCAATTCGACGCCTCTTCTTTATAAACAAGCCATCGTTGGTGAGTTGCCCGGCAGTCCCGCGAGGATTGTTGCAGATCGCAGGGGCGACGACACTCATTAAAGTTTTTTTTAAAAATAAAATTGATCCAAGATCTACGATTCATTAATACTGTATATGAAAAATATATTTTAAAAATCTTTAATCAATTAGATTTTATATTTATCTTTTATAAAATTTAATTATTTCAATTATTTTAAATATTTATAATTAAAATTAAAAAATTAATAAAAATTAACTTTAACGGAACGGAAGTTTTATAATAATATAAAACCAAGGCAACCGGATCAAATACAACGCATGCTCAACCTTTTTTCCACTTCGTATTTGTTGTTTTAGTTGACATATATGAATTGTATTTACAACTAGTGTTCATTCAATATTGTCCTAAAGAAAATCTTTTCAAAATAATATAAATAAATTTTAATGAATAATAGTTTTTCAAAAAAAAAATATTTTAAAATTTCTCAATGAATATGTATAAGCCTGATAATATGTTTTTTATTTAAAATTCTCTAATGATGAAATCAATTTTTTGAAATGAGATTACATGGGTTCAAAGTGAGGAAGATCAGCAAGATAATAAATAAATGTCATTTTGATGAGTTGAGATAATGCCAAATATAACCCTAAAAAATATAAACAAAAAACGGTCAAAGGATTGATAAAGTGCTAAAAGACAGAAGAAAATATGTTATAAAAGCAGAGGAAAATATGTCACAAAGATAGGTTTGTTAAAAATTAAAAATTTGATAAAAAACTAAAAAAATAAAGAATATAGACGATAGACGATAGACGACCAAGAATAAAACTGATGTCGTCGCCTACAAATAAAAAATGTAAAATTACAGACTCACATTAAACATTTTAAAATATAATAGTTCTACGTATAAATATTAAATATTTTATCCAAATACAAGTATCAACGTGACATAATTTCAAAAGCTTTAAATTTAAATTCCAGGTTGTGCAAATTATATTATACCAAAAAAATAAAAACACTAATAGACAATTTGATGTTCAAAGTTAATGAGAGCAAGGGATTCATTTATAGTAGGGGAAAAAACGAAAATAAACTTCGTGATGTCTGCAAGCCATTTACAATATCACTCCATTAAGGAGAAGAAAACAAAATTACCAAACAATATGTCAAACAATTTGATTATTAGGGATGTGCATGAGACTTAAATTCAACATCTTCTTATCTGACTCGACTTGATCGGATCAGTTTTTTTTTTTAAATTTAGATTCGGGTCAAGTCAAGTTTTTTAGCTGTTATGTTTGGCTTGGGTCAAGTTTGGGTTTAGGGTGAAAAATACTCAATACAAAAAAATCTTTTTATTGAATAAAAATATTTTTAATAAATGTATTATTTCGAGTCGGTTTGGGTTAACCGAAAACCCGACTCATGTCCATCCCTAATATAAGGTGATTACAATAGCTAGTATTTATTCTAAAGTCAATGGATTCATGCATGTGAACACTAACTTAATTTTCTTATAATTTTAATTTGAAAATAATTTGGCGAAAGTTAGTACCAAATTATGGGTAGGTGACCAACGAAAATGAAACGTTAGGGTGAAGGAGGGGACCCTCAATCTAAGACTCTTAGCATAAAGAAGTTGTTAACTTGGGAGAGCAGTTGAACGAAACAAATTTCCTAAACCACATTCACCACCAAACACCCTTTTAATTTTTGAGTAGAAAAATAGGCGACGATGAGAAGCAACCATGGTCACTACTGAAGAATTCAGCTTCCCTTCCCCCACCACTGATTTGTTCCCATGCGGCATCGAATCACCGCCGTTATGGAACGTATCTCCGTCAGTATCTCCCGGCCGGAAAGCCAAAGGTAAAGAAGGAGAAGACGACAAGTGTCTGAACAAAGAAGAAGGTGATAATGAAGAGGAGAAGATGGACATGTTGTGGGAGGATTTCAATGAAGAATTGGGAGGTGGAATAAGAAGACAAGATATGAAGTTATCGAAGAGCAATGGACGCATGCTTTCTCCAAACCCAAGGAAGGTAGGCATGCGAATTTTCATGAGGGTTTTGAGAAAACTCTTTTTGCTCCATAATTCTCAGGTTAAACATTCCACATGCCAAATATCCCTCTGATTGTTTTCTGTATATTTGTTGCTCAGAAATTATCCTCCAAGTTTTCATATCATGCACGTATGAATTGTTTTCTCCAGATTTCATTCAAAGAAGATATGATGTTTCTAATTTTTAAATCCATGATGAGTGTTTCCTCTAGATTTTTTTTATTAATCTGAGTTAAATACAAGATAATATATGTTTAAATATAACTCTCAATCATCTAACATTGAATGTTCACACTCTTGGTATTCATGATGCTCGAACCCGAGACCTTAAGGGATAACAACAATGTTAAAAAGCAAAACACGAAAAAGTTAACTTCTAAAATTTTGAATTATTTAACTTAAAATATTACTTGTTCATTCTTAAAAATTATAACATTTTCGGTTGCAACAAAAATATTACATTGCAGAGGTTTTAGGTTTACAACCGAAAAAATTATACAATTTGTAATAATTTTGGTTACAACCAAATAGTGGTAGAACGTGAGTCGGATGGGGGACATGGCCTGCCCTAACTTTTATGGTTTAATTGTATTCTAAACTCTTAAAAGTTTTGAAACCATTAAATTTAAGTTCTGGCCCTCCTAAAATTTTCTGATTTAATTATTTTTTAATACATTATCAATTTTAATGTTAAATGAAATTAAGTCTTGCCTCTAAATTTTTTTAGTTTAATTACTTTTTAGGACATGACAATTTTGAAATTAGTGAAGTTAAGCCTAGATCCTCTACTTTTTATTGTTCGATTACCTTTTAGAACCATGTTAGTTTCAAAGATAAGCAACTCAGTTCCTCCCATAATTTCATCCTAGTTCCGCCCTTGCGACCGAAAATGTTATGAAAAAAGTAATATTTTCATTTTCAACCTTAAATATTACTTTGTTGAATCTAAAAAAGTACACTTTTCGTAAAATTTTCAATTTTAACTGATTTATGTCGTTGTTTTAACCTTGTATTAATAAGTTGTATTTTAGACGATTTCTAAAATTTTAGTTTGGAATTTTGTCCAAAAAGCTTCGAATATTATAATTAATCCGAATTAACATTCAATCATTGGGTCATGATAAATACTATAATATAAGTTGGTGTCAAATATTAGCCTGGAAATATTTTTTGGGTTTTGTTTGTGCCTTATCTCTTATTAGACTGCCTAATCAACCTTCATACTAAAGAGTTTGAAGGATTAGGTTGATGATGTACTTAAATTATTTATAGATAAAGGTTACTTCAAACAATTTGGATTATTATTATAGAAATTAATATGGTTAACTCCACCAACTAGTTTAAATTAATGAATTTAATATTTATTTGGTATTTTATATAGTTTAGTGAGTTTGATTCCCTTGTGACATCATTCTAACCATTAATTGTATATAATTAAATAGTTTTACTTTTTCATATTAATTGTATTATACATAACTAGACAATTGCAATTTGATCATTCCTCGTACGGTGAAACTTCAATGACTTCAAAGTTTTAGAATATTGTTTTGTCTCTAGTGAAGGTCTTTTCAAACTATTTAAAAACTATTTTCTAGAGTAAAATACATAAATGATCTCTTACTATAAGATACTACTTTATTAAGTCCATTAATTATTATAAGTTATAAAATGATCCATTGACTACAGAGAATTACTTTGCTGAATCCCTTGAATATTAAAAGTTATAAAATGGTCACTTGTCTATTCATTATATTCCAAAATTGTTCTTTTCTGTTAAAAAAATTAGCGGTCGTCTGAGCTGGACATTAACATGCTTACTGAGATATGTTAGTCGTTTGAGATTATGTGATTAGATTTTATTATATATCAATCACTAGATTTGTGAAAATTACTTTTTATAATTAAAGCAATTGATCGAAGATACAATTAATAAATTCTATTTTTATATTAATTAGAAAGAAGCTTGACAGGTCTTATAGAAGTCTAACACCCATACTCTGTACGAAGGCTTGTTTGGACAAAAATATCACATTTAATGATCGAAATAAAGTATAAAAGTAAAAAAAAAAAATCATTCAAAATAGAATTCAAATATTTTATACACATATACATAGCGAATCAATTCTGGTCTATAATTGGACTTAAATAAAACATACAAGCATCCAACCCTATCATAAGTGTCGGAACGGTCTTTAAGTTTTTTGGGGCTATTTCGGGGACCAATCTAACTTAATCTTGGAAAACGTTAGATTTTAAATAAATAACAAATAAATAGATTTGGAGTCACCATCAACATTTGGGTTAGATAGGCCGAATACCTAAAAATACCTTTTAAAATAATTTTAAGAAAAATAATTTTAAAAGATAAAAAGTGATGTATGTTCAACCAGAAATTCGTTTTGAAAAAGGGTTTGGGGTTCGATCACGCGTGGGGAAGGATTAACACCCCCACAGTGCCCAAAATCGATACTTGATTGATTATACATCATCTAAATATTAAAATTGGCAAATTCAAATATACATTTAAATTATGATCCTTTTTAAAAAAAATATAATGGTTGTTATTTTGCATGAACAGTTCTGGAAATACATTCCTTGTCAGTTAAGGGGGCATTTCCATGGGTTCCCCATACAAAATAATATTACCCAAATACATATATTAAATGTATAAAAACAAATTCATTCGAATATAAAAGGTATTATTTTGTTCGAACAATTCTTGGAAACACACTCCTTTTCAGTTAAGACATGTTTCTATAAATTCCTCGAGTAAAATAATATTTGAAAATATTATAACTAGTAGGAAATTATTAAATATGTAAATGATGGATTAAAATAATAAAAAATAGTGATTTTAGGGATTAAACTATAAAACCAATGAAAGGTTTCAGGATTAAAACACATTTGAGCCAATAAGGATTAAATCAATACATGACAAGAGAGTAACGACTAAACATGCTAATAAACCACACCATCCATAATTGTTTCTAAAATAATTAAGGATTAAAATTAAAAATCCAAAAATAACATGTTAAATGTACAAAATGCATAAACTCGAAATAATTAGGCTTGAGAACCATAATACAACACGCGTTAAATTTGAAGACAAAATCATAAACTTCAAATAATACGAAATAGGGCTAAAATACAACATGAAAAAAATAAGGCGCTCAAAATAAAAAATGAAAAATTGTATTTAGTGACTAAATTGCAAAGATTACAAACATTGGGTGGTATTCTGCGTGATTAGCCCCTGTGCGAAATCAGAATACCCAAGCCTCAAAACTACGTCATTCTGAGAAGGCTATATAACTCCACTTAGAGAGAGAATCTCACACCTCTCTTTAAGAAATCTGGTGAGGAGTCTCAGCGGCTACCGTGCGCCACCTCCGGCCTCTGCGTGCCGCTGTCCTCCGGCGACATTTTGAACCCAAAATTAGGGGCAACTTCGTCTCAACGCCCAGATCACGAATCCAAGGTCCGATTGCCCCCAAAACGACCCGAACGACGTAGATCTAAGGAAACCCCTCTCACTTTTGTTTCTTTCATATATTGCTTGTTTTCTCTTTTTTTCTTCCCCCCCAAAACTTAAATGTTTTCCTCTCATTTTCTACTTTTTTTTTCTTTTTTCTTTTTCTTTTTCTTATCTTTTTGTTTGAAGAACCCCCTTTCTTCTTTTCTTTATTTTCAAAAACCCATCTCTCCTATTTTTTTACCCTCATCCCAAATCTTTTTTTTGGGTCCTCTCCCTCAATGGTTTTTTCTCTTCTGATTTGTTGCACCTCCCTTTTTTGATATTGCATGCTTAGTTTTTATGGCCTCCCTTTACGTTTGATAATGACAGATGATAGGGAATGATTTCCCCTAGAACTGATCATTCCATTCTCGATTTTTCAGGATTTTGATTAGTTTTTTAATGGGTTATTATATTTGTTAATGTGGATGATGATGTTTGATATGTTCTACTATATATGATGATGGTGGAGTGGTAGGGGAAGACTTGACTCTCTGGCAGTGGGGTTTCGGCGGGAATGACCTACGACAGAAGCTTGCAACGGCGATAGTAATTGTTGGAAACCCTAGGGTTTTAAACGTAGCTTTCCTTTGGGTCACTTGGGTTTGTTGTGGGCTTCGGGTTTGGTTTGGCCGATTAGGTCAGTAGATGTAATTTGGGCCCGGTTGGCCTTGTTGTAATGGCCTGAAAAGATAATAAAAAAAGTTAATAATAATAATAATAATAATAAATAATAATAATAATAATAATAATAATAATAATAATAAGAATAAGAATAATAATGATAATAATTAGTTTTGATCCGACAAAAACGGGTGTCAACAGCTGCACCTCTTTGTCTATCCTGGTGTTAACAAGAATAGGGAAAAGACAAAGAGACAACGACTTTTCGTACGATCGAAAATATTCTTCGAAATATGATATTGGATCTACTACACTATTTTTTCAGGGTAGATAAGATCTGAATGATAATGATTTGATTCATTTCACTGCTCCTCCGGGGAGATTGAATCGTAATCGATTTGTTTCACTACTCTTCAGGAAGATCAAATCTGAAAGAAAAAGAATCAGAATCGATTTGCTCCATTACTCTTTAGGGGAGATCAGACTCGAGAAAACTTTGATCCACTTCACTATTCTTTAGGGAAGATTGAATCAGAATCGATTTGCTTCACTGCTCTTCAGGAAGACCAAATCTGAAAGAAGGAGAATCTGCTCTACTACTCTTTAGGGGAGATTAGACTCGAGAAAATTTTAATCCACTTCACTGCTCTTCAGGGAAGATTGAAACGAACATGATTTGCTTCATTGCTATTTAGGAAGACCAAATCTGAAAGAAAGAGAATCTGCTCCACTACTCTTTAGGGGAGATCAGACTTGAGAAAATTTTGATCCACTTTGCTCCTCTTTAGGGATGATTGAATCGAACGTGATTTGCTTCGCTTCTCTCCATGAATACCAAATCTGAAGGAAAGGGAATCTACTCCACTATTCTTTAGGGGAGATCAGACTTGAGAAAATTTTGATCCATTTCGTTACTCTTCAAGGAAGATTGAATCGAACGTGATTTGCTTCGCTTCTCTTCAGGAATACCAAATCTGAAAGAA